TCGAGCAGGGGTGACGTGGTGCAGTTCGAAGATGTCGGCAACCGATGCTGTCCATCCAAAGCTTCATTTCGGTTGCACAGAACTGAGATCCATTGTCCCTCACAAGCACTTGTGGAATCCCTTCGAGACTAAAACATTTCCGTAGAACTTGTATCACAAATGATGTGGTAGGTGTAGTCGTAAAGAATACCTTTGGCCACTTGGAGTATGAATCGATCAGGACAAGGGCGTATTACCGGTTCAGAAATGGACCACGGAAATCCAACTGAACCCTTTGCCATGGTATATAACTTTCCAGCCATGGTATCCAGTTTTTCGGTCTTGTTCGTAGCTTGTGTAGACATGACTCACAGTTTTTGGCTGTTGCTTAAATGTCTGCGTCCAACTCCGGCCACCAGCACATCTGTCGAGACAAGGATTTCATCTTCTCGACCCCCATATGTTCTGTATGCATTTCTTTTAGTACCGTCTTCCGTGGTGGTGGTGGTGGTTGGATTACCAATCGATCGTCGCGACAAAATATACCATCCAATTGCACTGACAACTCCTCACTATGATCAAAGAATTGAGGATATTTTCTCTATACCTCTAGTGACCAGTCTTTCTTGATCGCTGAGAACATGGCCGAGTAGTGCTGTTTGGTAGATTTGCGTAAAGATGCCTGAGACACTGGTGATGCTGGAGAGATGAAATGGCACTGTTCGGCCTCAGAAAATCGTCTGGATCACCACAGAGACTTACGTACACTTAACCCTAAGCGCTCCTGCGTGTGCATGCTGAGCATGCGCACCACCTTGTGTCATACGTGGGGATGGGGATACTGAAAGAGGGGACTTATTCCTCTTCTGTTTTAGGTCACTTCTGGAAAGGTTTCGGCCTTTACTCTATCTGATTCCATTTTAAAGGCTTGCACTGTGGTCAGTTGAATGAGTCTGCCGGGGAGGCGATTCCAGAAGTTTACCACCCCGTTGGTTAAGAAATGTTTCGTCACATCCAACTTACTTCTGTTCTATTCGAGGTGACATTCATGTCTTCTTAAGTCTCTCATGGAACCTCCGAGGTAGGAGACCTAGATCGGTGTTCTTCATTTGTCTGAAGACTTCGATCAGGTCTCCTCTTAAACGTCTCCTACACATAGAGAAGGGGTTCAGGTGCCAAAGCCGGTCTTTGTAGGATAGCCCTTTGATTTTGCGAACCATTCTAGGTGCTGACCGTTGCATTTTTTCTAACCCCTCTACGTCCATTACTCGGTAGGGTGCTGTAATAATTGTAGAAGTAGTAGTAGTGAAGTTACGCACGGAATCCAGGACACGAACTACGCAATAGGAATCACGGAACACGAATTAGAAAACCAATGGCACTGGACCGCAACGGCTGGAACTCGCATTAACCCGCAGGATCGAGACGCGAGGAAAAAGGCCACAAAACAGGCGAATCACAAAGTCGTTTATTGAAGGAAATGTGAGTGAATATATACGTACAAAAGAAAAGACCATTGGCTAACTTAGTTCCCACTAATAATATTGCATCACATCTCGCGTCATATTGCTCTTCTCTGCATTGTATCTGATTGGCTGGAACGGCCCACCAATGACGTGTATCCGGAGGCTGTGCACGTGCTACTGGCATCAGCGCTCAAGGTCGATTGACTACCAACGTCCGGAAACTGTACCGCGCTGCTCCAGGGCAGGCTTGATCTCGTAGATCCGAATCACCACAGGAACCCAAGCTTGGACGTAGTATTATAGGTGGGGTCTGACGAGTGCAGAGGCATGAACACGCCTAATTAATCTAAATACTCCAAATCACTCGTTGATCGTCTGAAGCCCTGAACCCAATGAACTTGTCTCCAGGAGCGAGTTGTATTGCAGCATAAAGTGAAACATGTACCTTTATCGACGTATTATTCTGCTGTGTTCCTCACTTTCTATTCCTGTCCTCATGCCTCGACCATCGGGCTGCACTTGTACTACAGACCTCCTCTTCGTAATTCCCACACTGCTGCCGTACGGCCAATCCTTTCGGGACCAGCTTTACTATTACTTGCATTTCTAGTGACATCTATTTTTCGATGCATGCTCCATCTTTCATAAATTCGTCGATGACCTTGTCCGGTTTGTGTTCCTTTCTCTCTGTGTTTCGTTCTGATCCTCACCATTTTATATATTATTGTCTACCTATGTACTTACACTGTTATTGTACGTATACTCGCTCTGAACATTTGATCATGCCTTGTGCATGTTTCACGGGCTTCGTGAAAAATACACCTATTATTATTATTGTTATTATTACTTCGGCTTCTCTGTTGGTTATTGCAGCTCTAAGTGCAAAGAGCGCTCTCCTGGCCTTGTGGGCTGCTTCGGCGCATTGTTCGCTAGGTGTAACGCTGGCTGGGACTGTAATCCCAAGATCCTTGACACACCTCTCTTGTTTCAGAGTATGAGCTACTTGATATGGGAGCGTAAGACACAGGGGGGTTCCGGAGCATTTTTGTTTAGAACACAACATTTGGTTGCGTTCAGCGGCAGATCCCATCTTACCATCCACGCTGAGAGCCTGTCTAAGTCGTCTTGCATTGTTTGACAACTGGACGAGCCGCCAACTATTTTAACGTCGTCGGCATAAATGAGGCATGGATTTGCGACCTCCTCGGCAAGGTCGTTGATAAATATTAGGAAGAGGAGTTGTCCTATTATTGACCCCTGGATACACCACTGGTCGCTTTCCCTTCACTGGAGATCGTCGATCATATTTTCACCTGATATGTACAGTCGTGGAGTAGACTGGCCATCCGGTTGCATACCTGGGTTGAAGCCCCGGTACCCCTTAAATATTGTAGTAACAGCATGTGGTTAACGGAGTCAAACGCCTTTTGGAAGTCTAGGTAGCAAACTTCAACTGCTTCTCCTTTGTCTAACCTGCTAGTTTCTTCGTCTGGAAATACTAAGAGGTTGGTCAGAAAGGATCGATCCTTGAGGAATCCGTGCTGTGCTTTCGAAAACAAGTGCACGCTTATTAGGTGCTCCGCTAGTTTATTTCTTATTATGAGCTTCATCGCTTTGGAAACGATGCTGGTTAAGCTTCTTGGTCGATATTTTTCCATATTGGCTGCATCCTCTTTCTTGTGGATGGGGGCAATCGTAGCTCTGCGCTAGTCGGCCGGCACTATGCCTCTTGACATCGAATGATTGAAAAGTGACGTCGAAGGTTCAGTGGTTACCGATGCCAGTGTCAGGTCAGGTTGCACAGGACGGAAAAGGCTTTCGCCAACCAAGCGTCCAGATTCTTGCTTCGGTAG